CGCACTTATTCTTTATTCTCTCGTTCTCTCCTCTTTTCGTCGGCGCTAATCCTCGATTTCTTGTTTCACACAACAGTGTGGTCGGTTATGGTTGCACCACCTGCATCGGTAACTCTGGTCCTCTTCCCGCCTCCGTCTCCGCCGCCATTGAGGTACCCTGTCCCTCCACTCTCCCTTATGAGAACGGCGTAGATGATGATTTCTACTTATTGGTCCGTGTTGATGATAGGCTATGGCCATGAATATAATTAATAAGTCCTGACATATTACTAGTTCTCCAACCACTTATCTATTCGTACTTATCATCTCTGTACGGCATCGTCTCGTTCATCTCGCTCATCGACCTCTTGTTCAATCGCTACAGGAGGGCGACCTGGTCGCTTCGGGCGTGCTTTCCGGCAACAGGAACTTTGAGGGCCGCATCCACCCTCTCGTGCGTGCCAACTACCTGGCTTCGCCCCCGCTCGTGGTCTCCTACGCCATCGCCGGCTCGACCCTCGTCGACCTCGACAAGGAGCCCATCGGCACCAACGACCAGGGCGAGCAGGTCTTCCTCAAGTATGTCCACCTCCCCTTACCATCACCCACACTACACCACACGCACGTCCCATAAACTGGGCCGGATAGAAGGGTCTCTTTCTATTATCCGGTCCAATTTTTTAACAAGGTAGAGGGACAATAGCAAAAAGCCAGATTAATCCCAGAATACTTGAAACCCCACAAGGCGTTCTGTTTCATGCCCTGGCAACAATTACCACAACAACACACCATACAGCACACAACGATCCTTTGTGTGTTGTGGCGCGGTCGACTCACCTTCGACGTTTGTATTATGCAGGGACATCTGGCCCACGCAGGAGGAGATCGCTGAGACCATCAAGACCAGCGTGCTGTCGGAGATGTTCAAGGAGGTCTACGGCGCCGTCACCCGCGGCACCCCGCAGTGGAACAGCCTGAAGGCGCCCACTGACAAGCTCTATCCTTGGGACGAGAGCTCGACCTACATCCACAACCCGCCCTTCTTCTCGAGCATGGAGCTCCACCCCTCGCCGCAGAACAAGATCGAAGACGCGCACGTCCTGCTCCTCGCCGGCGACTTCATCACCACCGATCACATCTCGCCCGCCGGCAACATCTCTGTCCGCTCGCCCGCCGCCCGTTACCTGATGGAGCGCGGCGTCGACAGGAAGGACTTCAACTCCTACGGTGCCCGTCGCGGTAACGATCAGGTGATGGCGCGCGGCACCTTTGCCAACATTCGCCTCACCAACAAGCTCCTGGGCGGCAAGGTCGGCCCGCAGACCATCCACCACCCGACCGGCGAGGTCCTCGACATCTGGGACGCCGCCGAGCGGTACATCAACGCCGGCACGCCCCTCACCGTTCTCGCCGGCGAGCAGTACGGTTCCGGTACGCACACCCGCCCCTTCCCTCTCTTCCTTCTTTCAGTGTTTGTGCTGCTGCTGGCCAAGATGACCATTATGTCTGGACCTCTGATCCCAAAAAACATGAAGTCACAAAACATGAGATTTCTGAGCCACTCTTCCGTTCTCTCCTTTCTTTTCTTTGGTTCCGCTTCTGCTACAACACTCACGTGCTCACGGCTCTCTTCTCCGCTCTTGCGTTATGCAGGCAGCTCGCGCGATTGGGCCGCCAAGGGCGTGTGGATGCAGAACGTCAAGTTCGTGATCGCCAAGTCGTTCGAGCGCATCCACAGGTCCAACCTGGTGCTCATGGGCATCATCCCGCTCGAGTTCGTCGCTGGCGAGGACGCCGACAAGCTGGGCCTCACCGGCAAGGAGACCTTCTCCATCGACATCACCGGCGCCGCTCCCCGCTCGACCGTCACCGTCAAGGTGAACGGTGGTGCCATCAGCGAGTTCAAGGCTACCCTCAGGATCGACACCGAGACCGAGGTCAACTACTTCAAGGTATGCCCCTTCACCCTCTCTCTCTCTACGCCGTCTTCCTTCTCTCTCCGTCGCAGTGCGCTATTTGTGTTAGGCCGCACGAGCGTTTCTTTTTCCCTTCGTCAATCCCGTGTGATTGGAATCGCCCGCTTGTGCACAGATTGACACTCCCCCGAGCGTCGCTAGCGAGAAGTCCATTCTCGACTCGTGATGAAAGGGGGAGTACATTTACTCTCGTTTCCTATCTCCACTCTCCCTCATCTTCTCTTTCATTCACGACTCATCTCTTCTTCCTCTTTCCCAACAACAAACAGCATGGTGGTGTGCTCCCGACTGTCATCAGGCAGGTGCTCGGCACCGCCCAGTAAACAAACACAAGTGGCGTCGAGAAGACGCGCCTCACTTTCATGTAGCCTGCACACCATTTGATAAATAGAAAAAACAAGTTTTGTAATCGACGCGTTCGCCTTCGTCTTCCTCTTTGCCTCGTCTTCCAGGTCCTTTTTTGGATAAACGAACCAAAATCGAAGAGCAGGAAAATGCAAGGGGGCGCCTGTTTGGGGAGTAGTGCTCGCGATGAAGGCAACGGAGGTGGTCGGCAGCAGGAAGGCCAGGGACGATGAGGTCCACGCGCTGATGTGCCGGTTGTGGCCGGACGACGAAGAGCGGCTGCAGGCTGCCGTGAGGCTCGCAGACCGGTTTCTGGCGAGCCTGCGCGCGTGCGTGGAGGCGACGACGACACAGGTGGTATCGAGCGACGTCGTCCACGCGAAGACTGAGCAGAAGAAGCAGGACAAGGTTGTGGTGGAAGGAGGCGTCAAGGAGTACAGCGATGGCGAGCTCACCGAACTGGCAAGTGATGACAACTCGAGCGGTGACGAAGAGGTCAATGAGGAAGCGGAGGAAGAAACCAGGGGAAAGAAACGTAGAAGACACAATAACGACGAAAGGGGCGGTTCGACGAAGGTGGCTACGGGCGCTCGGCACCCCTTCAAACGGGATAAGTGCTACTCCAAGGTGGATGACTTCGACCTGGAGACGGCGACCAAGGTGGAGCTGAAAGTGCTGCACGACTCGATGAACAAGAGTCACAACCACACCCAGCTGCTGCACCAGAGCCTGGAGGAGGGCCGCGAGTACTCGCTGGGCCTGCGCGCCCTGCCTCGCCGCAAGGACAAGGATCGCAAGTCGCACCCGGCCACCGTGGCCCGTATCAAGAAGAGGCTGTGGGAGGACCTGGGCCACTTCCCCCAGCTGGCCTGCTGCGTGGTGGGCCTGTTCCGCTTCTCCCACCAGGACTCGACCAAGCTGGTGCGCCAGGCCATCGATGCCGACCCCAAGGAGAAGGCCTTCTGGTCGCGTCCCCTCACCCCCGCCCAGCTCAGCCTGTTGGGCAAGAAGCCAACCACACAATGACGTACAACGCGCTCCCTTGTAAATACCCCCCCCCCTCTTGTTTCCCTCTTGTCTCTCACAACACATCAGACATGTAGTGGCAGCTCCTCGCTCCCTTCTTCTGGGTTTCGCATGGCAACGTTGCCAACAACAAGCAAGGGTGTGAGGTCGTGGTGTGGGTGCAGGCCGCCTGGCGGCCCACAAGTGTACTTATCTGTCTATATAGATGAACAACTATGTACATACAATGTAGTGCGGTGAACCGCACACTGGTCCACCGCACACGAATGTGGGCGGCGGCGTTCATGCCAGCAGCTGGCTCAGGAAGTCCTCCTGGTCGGCCGAGAGGCCGTCTTCGTTGACCTCCTCCTGCAGTCGGCTGATGTCCTGCTCCAGCTGCTGCTTCCACCGCAGGAGCGTCTCCAGTCGCCCGCGCTCCTCCTCCTTCTCCTTCTTCTTCTCACGTCTCGCCGGCAGCACGGGAACCGCAAACTTCACCTCCTCCTCCTTCTCCTTCTTCTCCTCCACCGCTTTCCTCTCATCGGCGAGGGATCGGCGGCGGCCTTGTGTTCGACTCGGCGGCTTCCGGGCTCGTCCCGCGGGACGCCCGCGTTTGGTGGTGGTGGTAGTGGCGCGTCGTGGTGTAGAGGCGGCGAGGCACCAGACGTGGTCGCCCTTGGCGGCCGACATGGTCTCGGGCTTGAAGAACTTATTCTTCTCGTTCTTGGAGAGGCACGAGCGGATGGCGGCCTTCCAGTTGCGCTTGCCGTCGATCTCCTCGGGGAACGCGTCCTCGATGGTCGCGTAGATGTCGGCCAGCGTGCCCCGGCCGCCCAGTCGCCCGAGCGCCCACTCGGCCTTGGCCACCCAGGTTCGGGGCGGCGGGTGGGGCACCTCGTCGTAATCTTCCTCTTCTACTTCTTCTTCCTCTACGTGGTGGCTCGCTTCTTCATCTTCTTCTTCATCGCGGTCTGGCATTTCCTGGTACTGCTGCACCACCAGGTGGTCTTCGTCGGTGGAGCCCGCGCTCTGCTGCTTCTCGTCAGAGGCTGCAGCCCGCTCCTCGAGCTCGTCGAAGGTGCGGGGCCGCTTGGGGGACTTTGCGGGGTGCGCGTAGAGACTCGAAGTAGTGGAGGTGGAGGAAGCGGACCGCGGGTGGTGGTGGTAGGAGTAGTCGACGGTGTCGTCGTCCTGGGTCTGGTCCAGGTGGCGCTTCCTGCCCCTGCCGACCTGCTTGACCCGCCCCTTCTTCTCCCCTCCCCGCGCGTAGTAGTCGTCTTCCGTCTGCGCCGCTGCCAGTTCGGGCGAAGACGTGGACCCCGACGAACCCGAAGCGACGTGTCGGGGTTGGGGGTGGAGCTTGTGGGGCTGCTGCTGCTGGAGGGATCCCTCCATGGAGTAGTCTGTGGTTGTAGTAGTCTTGCTGTGCTGGCTCAAGGTGGAATGGTTGGTCCCGTGTCTGTCACGGGTATCCAGCATGCTGTGTGGTATATCTGTCTGCCTGTAGTAGGTAATGGTCGTGTGCGTGGTGTCTGGTGTGGTTTGCGAGTGGCCTACGTGCGTCTGGTTGGTTGGTGTAGGAGAAGAAGGAGAAGGTGACTACGTGTGAGCCCACTTGTACGCAGTAGGAGAAAAGTTGTTTGCGTGTAGCCCCAGGCAGAGGGGGGGAGGGGAAGCAGTACCGTGGGTGGTGTGTGGCGTAACCGGTCGTCTAACGCTACACGGGCTGACGTGGGAAGCAGTCGGTACGGCGGAATAAGCTATTTCTCCGAACGGGAGTTGGAGCTAAAGCCGAATTCTTTCGGAAAGAATGCCCGAAATGCAACGATTGTGAAGTTCCAAATTTCACCGAATTATCCACACTGTTTATTTCCGAAATTCTACGCTTCTGCAGAAGCAGTTTGGCTGAAATTCGGGCCAAACCACTTTCCTCTTGGAGTTGACGGTGGCAAGTGGTGTGGAGTACACGCCAAGTTGCAGCCCGTGTGTAGTGGCCAAAGTCATGCAGGTGAATCTGTAAGAGCACCCACTCAGTTTTCATGGCATATTACCAGTGGCAATTGTAAGATAGCTCTAAAACCCCAACATATCATACCCATCCCAACCTACAGCAATACACCAAGCACTAAACACCACCACTCATCCATCAACAATGAAGAGCATCATCCTTCTCGCTCTCTTCGCCACCCTTTGCGCCTACGCAGTTGCTGGTACGTTGACGAGCACAACTTCAGAAACTAAGGGCTTTTCTCTTACCTCGTGATTCTGCGCACAGATTGCAACGTGAGCATCAAGCAAACGCTGGGCAGCTCGTGGCAGCAAGAGGGCAAGACCTACTCGCAGTGGAATGTCCAGATGACTGCGGGCTCGGAGACGGTCAAGTCGCTCGAGCTTGCGTTGACCGGCCGTGACTTCAGCCAGTTCTGGGAGCTTACCAAGACCGCCGACAACCGCTACGCCCTGCCCGCCTACCGCATTCAGAACGGGGCCTGCCCGCTGGCCAGGTCCACAAGTTCGGCTACATCATCGAGAACGCGTCGCAGGCCTCCATTGACGTCGCCTCCATCAACTGCGGCGCCGTCACCGCCTCCCCCTCGGCTTCGCCCTCCCCCAGCCCCAGCGCCTCGCCTGCAGCCCCGTCGCCCTCCGTGGTCGCCACGCCGCAGCCCAGCCCGACCAACGGATGCAGCGCGACCGTGACCCTCGTAGCCCGCTCGGCCGCGGCCGGTGGCGTGTGGGTCGACGCCGGCGCCACGTTCCAGATCTTCGACCTGACGCTCACCAACAATGGCCAGCGCGCGCTCAACGGCGGCGTGGCGACCTTCACCCTGGCTGAGGCCGGCGCCTCGATCACCCAGTTCTGGGAGCTGAGCAGGCAGGGGTCGACCGCCAACGCCTTCAACGTGGCCTTCAACTACGGCGCTCTCCAGGCTGGAGCCACCCAGGGCGCCGGCATCGTCGTGCGCCTGGCCAGTTCCTCGCCCGCTGCCAAACCCGCCGTCACCCTCGGCTCGCTCGGCTGCCACTAAATTCCATCCTCCTCGCTCTCACTTCGCGATGTCCTCGAGGCTGCGATGCTGCCTCCCCATCACCATTCATTCTTTCATTCTTTCATTCTTTTCGTACATGGCATAGAGGTGCCTAGCATGTGAATAATATAAACTACCCATATTACAATTGAATGGTTTACAGTGTTGGGTTAGCACAATCAACTCAACTGGGTCATTTGGAGGACTTGCGCCTGTTGCCTCGTTGCGTCGGCAGTGGGGCCGGCAGCAGATTCTTGAACTTGGTCGTGATCTGCGTCCCGAGCGTGAAGCCCCGCGCCCACGGCTCTGTGTGTGTCGTGTGAGCGTGTGCATGTCGGTCATCGAGCGAACACCAGTAAGAGGGGGCTGGAATGGTACCGACGAGCTCGAGCAGGTATCGAAGAGTCTCGGCTTCGCCGCACTGTAGGAGTATGGAGCACACATTGGCGAACCGCATGCTCGACGTGCACGAGAGCGAGCAGATGTCCGACCGGAAGCTCTGCAACGGGGTGTGACGATGAGCGGGCTGCGCGTACGCATTAAAGCCAGCCAACGCTCGGGCTGGTGTGTGCGCGTACCTCGACCTCCTTGACGAAGCGCTGGGCGCTCTGTTTCGCGAGATCCCTCTGCCCGGCCTCCCAGTGTGCCTCGGTCTTGAGGGCCGCCCAGGCGAGCGTGGCCGTGAGCCGCGCCGCCATCCCACAATCGTCTACGGCAGCACGATGACGTCAGTCAGCATGTGCCGTCACCTTAAGGCGCCAGAGTCTGGGGCAGTACCGAGGCCGGCCAGGTCCGCCTCGTAAAAGTCGAGGTTCTCGAGGAGTTGGCCGTAGAGGTCGTCGCTGTCGGGACCCGTCAGCTGATGGGCGGCGGCACTGGGGGCGGTGGGAGCGGGCGGCAACTGTCTCTCCTGCAGCTGCCTGCTCTTGTAGGCCGCCAGGAGGAACGTGCAGTTGGTCGTGTAGATGGCCATGATCGTCGACTTGCGCAACTGACTGTACATTTTCCGCCTCTGCTCCTCATTCTAACGCACGCACGCACGCACACACACACACACACACACGC